TCGAAGGGGGACCACCTCATCTATAAAGACTGTATCCTCCCTCACACCAAATACATTTCATATTTATTATATTTTACATTACATTTCACCTTATATTCTATATTTTATATCCCATTCCATATTAAACTATATAATGTTAATGTTATCATTCAGGAACTGTGTTATATCTGTATATTAAAACACTTTATATTATATTTTATATTAGATATATATATATATATATATATATATAATAGTCCTTATTCATGATGTGAATGTGATTTTCTGTCTGATGTTTGTTTTGCTCTTAACGTCGCCATCAGTCCGTGGAGAAGCAGGAAGTGACGTCGTCAGTATTTTCTACGAGAAGGTCACAGCGCTGACCGGAGACCAGCCTCCGGTTGTCATGGTAACACCATCTCTGTGCCGGTTGTCATGGTAACACCATCTCTGTGTGTGTGTGTGTGTTTTAGGACGTTTTAAAGGGATAGTATTTGATTCAGAGGCTCTGCTACACCTGCACTGTCCGCTCTGATGCAGATATCGATTATTAAACCGATAACCAATCATTAGTCACCCGTCCTGGAAAACCTGGAAAAATTTAGAGAGCAGTTTTCCAGGCATGGAAACACCTGGAAATTGATTAAAATGACCAAATATCCTGGAAATAATCTCTGTCGTCCTGGAAAATGAAAAAAATGAATATTAAGTTTGAAACTCGACTGTTGGTAGAATAAACTGCGAAACGAAGAGACAAAAAAACAGCTTGAAAGCCCGAAAGTGAGAAAAGGAAACTCACAAAATAATATTTAATTCATAATTACTCATCTGTTTCAACTTTTTACACGTGAATCAATAAGAAATTCAGATTTAATGTAATAAGACATCAAATTAGAGTCAGATTTGCATTTTTTGGGGTCAGAGGTCAAATTATTGGTCATGATATAATACATATTTAATAACAACAACAAACAAATAGGAACAAAAACATCAAATATTTGCACCAAAAGAAAAGTTTTAAGAAGAGATTTAGGAACCATCCAATCAGAGGCCTGGATCAATAAAACAATGTAATCATCAATAATCCTGCGTTTTGTTCTGCAGAGTCACAAAGATCTTCACTTCGTCCACATCAGGCAGGGGGGGCTGTACTGGGTCGCCACGACGACGGCTGACTCCTCCCCCTTCACCATCATCGAGTTCCTCAACAGGTACGTCGGTTTCATCTGAGTCTCTAATAACGATATTTACCTCGTTAATAAGCTGCTGCTTGGGGCTCAACCTGCGGGGCGGGAACCCCACTGGGGGTCGCCAAAGCT